CCCTTATAGGATTTTAATTAAGTATCCTGGTAGGTTTGCATTTTTTTACCTTTTTTATAATATACACCGCACATATACTGGGGGAAATGCACATTCCTTTTACATTGCTTTGTTTTTACATAGATGTATATAGATTACATTCCCTTTATACATTTTGGGCAGTTAAGTTCCAATAGAACCCCCTTATGTTCTTTTAGCAAATTTGAGTACTAAATTGTCCATAGTCAAATGATTTCCATTAGATAGCTTTTTTGCCTGGATTATTTACAGACATTCCTTTGGAAAAGGGCCCATTTGCCTCCAGAATAGCTGCAAAGAAACCAAGAATTCTCTTTTTCTCTAACACTTTTACAACATTTAACTGTTTAATTCCCTCCAGCCTCTGCAGAGTTAACTTTTCACTCTCTGTCCTTAAATCACTTGCTTATCTTCCAAAATGAGATTGTAATCAACTTGGATTTTAGTATTCCAAGTACTATTTCAGGGATTTAAATTCCCCATATCTGTACGCACTCCTTTCCTTACTCCTGCCACTATGCCCTCAAGGCTTCCAACCTGTTTTCCAATTTCTTTATTTGTTGCCTGCCTGCTTATCTGGGCCCGATCCTGTTTTTCTCATTGAACCGTTCCTTTCCATGGGCACAGGCTTTGTTCCACTACCAATTTAGCAAGGAGGGTGGGCTCCTTAACTAGCTCCCATCTCTCCTGGTCCCTTTTCTCTTCATAATCACCCCACGGGGTTGCTCTCCTCGTAGTTGGGGGTGCCATACATATGATCTTCTCCCCCTTCACCCGCTGGACCTCTCGGCCTTAATGAGGGCCGCTATAGGGGTGCAACAAGGTTCCGCCCAATATCGAGGATCCTCACAAGGTTCACCCGAATCATTCCCCGTGAGGCTCGCCACCTGGACCGAATGCATGGCCAGTTGACATTTTAACTGTTCAATTTCCTTTTCATGGCGAGCACACTGCCTACGTGGCATGTGCTGAGCACGAATAGTCAACTCTTTGACTAGTCCCTGAAGGACTGGTATTTGCTTAGCCAGTGCTTCCAGGTGGGTGCGTTCTGCCTTTTCTGCCTGGAAGTCCTGTCTCAAGGCTTGCAACTTGTCCTGGGCATAGGCTTAGGTTGCAGCCTGGTTAGTAATCTGCGCTTTCAGTTGCTCAATTTCCACCAGCTGTCGAGTACACACCTCCTCCCTTCTCCCCAACTCCTCTTTCTGTCCCGACAACATTTGATACCACATGGCTGCTGCAGTTCAAATTACTCCCACAGCGGCCCCTAGGTTTTTACCCTTTTGCTTTTTTTACACGGAACCCCAGCGACTGTATCCCACCTTGGTGAGAACCCTCTCCAGCCGTGAGAGGTCCTCACCCCCCTTTGAAAGAGGCAGCAGAGTTCTGTCCCTCTTTGCTGTCTCCCCCATGGCTCGGGCATCAGGTCCACCTGCCTCCCGTGACACCAGTGGGCCGGGCAGCCGGACTACCGTATCCGTGCTCCATAATGCCTGTGCGTCCAGCCTTGAACCCATCGTTGATGCCATCGCCTATGACTGCGGGACTCCCGAGTTCGCAGCTGTACCCTTCTGTTTCCTGAACACGTTATCACAAGCCATTAGTACCACTTTTAAGGTGTTTTTAATTACTTGAGATTTCACTCTGCCCACACTGACCAGCACCGGGGCTTACAATGTTCACGCCCCCTGGGCCCGAGGGAGAGATGCTGAGCCTCCCTCCGTATTACTCGGTCCAATACCACTGAGGGTCCATACACCAAAAACCCTTCCTGGGCAGAGCGAGACACCCTATGTTCTCCTCTTTAACTCAGGCATGCTACGGCTGAGGATGTATGCACTGAGGATTATATGCGTGGAGCGAGACTGCCAGAGTCCTCCTCCCATTACCCGGGACTTGTACAACCCGGGGGTATATCCACCTGCACCCTACCCCCGCCAACCGGGGTGGAGAGAGGAATGCTAAACCTCTCTCCGGTTCTCAGACCTACTAAGGCTGAGAGTGGGCACACCTTTAATCATAAAATCCTCAACATGGAATACCAACAGTGCTGGACAGAGCAAACATGAAATACCAAGGGCAAAGCAGTTGGTGCGCTCTGCAGGGACCCCCCTCCGCAATGCTCCACCAAAACTGTGACAGATTTATGTTACCAATCTGCCTGAGGCGTCAGGTAATCAGGCTGAGGCCGCAGGATCTTTAGGGGAGGAGATGACAGAGCACACCAAGTGTTTAAGTTTTAAAGCTTTATTAATAAAATAATAAAATAACAGCGGTGAGTGTTGGGACTGCTCCCAAGTCACTCAAAGGAAGCAAGAAAGTGTTAGTACCCCAGCCCTAACCCACTTTCATACTCACGCACGAAATGAGGCTGGCCAAGCCTGGGTGTAACGTAAGAAGAAGTGGGCGGGGGGATGGGAGTTCTTGTCCCGTGCATGGGTCATCCAGGGTCCGCTGTGATCTCTGACTTGCTTTGGCACTTGGGAAGGTTTTTAGTCCTGGGTTCTTTTGGGGGTGTTTTTGTTTAGGGCCCTCTGTTCCTGGTGCTCTTTGTACCAGCCAAACCGGCTCACTGTGGCCTCCATGGCTTTCCCAAAACACGCCGGATCCAGAGACTTTGTTTTCCCCCCGGTTGGCCTTTGCCATCTCATTCGTTCTCACTGCAATCTCTGCAGCCTTGCTCAACTTAGTTCTCCTCTTCTCATGGCTGGGCAGCTGCAGATTTCTCACCGAGCCCATGACCTTGGACCAGGGTCAGCGTCTTATCTTCAGATGGAGCTAGCTGAAGTGTCAAGTTAACCCGTTCTCTGTTCTTTTCCTCCCCCTTTGGCCTTTTGCAACCTGTAAAGGAATCTTCCACTTTACACTCACACACCTTTGACCCTTCCCCGAAATGCCTTGCGATGCTTGCAACCGTGTTAGAAACATACAATGCTAATTTGCCTCCCTGTGGGACCCCCTGGGGGGAGGGAGTCCTTGGGCCTGTGACACCCCTACGGCTGCTGGGGCTGGGACGCCCTGCTAGGCCTGCTGGCTGCATTGAAGTGATGTGCCGGAGTGATCATAGCACTGGCAACACACACAATGGGTAAGGCAGGTTACTGAGCTGTAGGAAGCCAGAACCGGGCAGCATGGCTGAGAAGGTGATGAGTCATGGCCGCTGCATGGCGTGTAGGGAAGGGTGGCTGGTTTACAACGAGGATAGTATGTGATTTACTGTCCCTGGCAGATGGTTGACTCAGCAGAGCTGGCTCTATGGCTGTCCCTGGGAACGGATGTGTTCCCCCACCCTGCCTTTTCTATCTGTTAATGATGCTTAACAGCTTGGGGGTCACATCCAGGTCTGGGGTGAACAGCTCCTCCCCAGGCTGAGAGCAGGGACCTGTATTCTCATTGGTGCCTTGGAGGTTCCAGCAGGGCAGCCTCAAAGCTCAGTGTGCAGCGGCTGATGGCAAAGGGTTAAAGGTGGGCTCCTATGCTCTCACTCTAGGTTCTGAGGAGCCCAGATCACACCAGTGTCCTTTATACTTCTCTATGCTGCTGGGACCATAGTGCTCCACCCACCCACCCACCCACCCACCCAAACGTGACGGGATTGTTTTCTTGCTCCATTGGCTGGCAGGCGCATGGGTCAGAGGAGGGAGTGTTCTGCAGCAGCATGCCCAGCACCAGTGGCTCAGCTGATGTTTGCATTGCTCTGCAGCCCCAGCTCCGGCCAGCTCACAAGCAGTGGTTATGGACTCTGGAGGCAGTTCTAGTCAGCCAGGTGACTGCTGTGATCCGCAGGCCTTTGTGCAGTATGAGATGAATGAGGGGTTCTGGGCATATTTGGAGGGCCCCAGGCTACATGGGCTCTTCATGGCGTTTCTCGGCTGCATGTTGGAGAATCACAGCAGGAGGCAGTATTTGTATTTCCATGCATCTGCAGCCCGGTATATGCCAGCACTTTCCCCCTCCAACTGGCAGGGGTGTGGACATCCTGCACGGGAATTGCATCAGACTGCTTACCGAGGTCTGGCTCTAGCCAGTCCCCACCCCCTCCCATCAGTCACAGCTTCAGGGAAATATCCCATACCTGCTGGAGCTGCAGATACCACCATCTAAGCCTTCGCTAAGTGAAGCCATTACTGATTAATAAACCTTGTCCTGAGCAGGACTCCTGGTTGAAATGATGCCCCATTATTTGATTATATACGATTACCCAATTATTTCCCTACTATCAAAATAAATCCCTGCTCCCCCCCGTCCTATTGCACTTGAAACAAACTAGCCAGCCAAGAACACCTAGGCTTTCTCCTTGCGACTCAGCAGCCTACCCACCTCCCTTCTGAGTGCTTACCTCGGCAAAGAGGTAAGCCTGTAACACAGTCTAGTCAGATGAAGATTGGACTGTCTATTTGTCTGCCTTTCCCCTGCATCTCACTCCTCGCTAGTAGGGACCATCTGTAGGGGGAACGGTGGTCCAGTTTCCATGCCTGTTCAGTGCCTGGCCCCTCTGCTAAGAGTGCCAAAAAGGGATTTGGTGGTGGTTTTGTCATGTGGACACTGAGAACTGGACTGAGACCATCAACTCAGGGAGGGAGGGATAGCTCAGTGGTTTGAGCATTAGCCTGCTAAACCCAGGGTTGTGAGTTCCATCCTTGAGAGGGCCATTTAGGGATCTGGGGCAAAAACCTGTCTGGGGATTGGGCCTGTTTTGAGCAGGGGGTTGGACGAGATGACCTCCTGAGGTCCCTTCTAACCCTGATATTCTATGATTCTAACTCCTTTAACCACACCCAACCATCAGATGGCAGCAGCAGCCTTCCAATGCTGGTGTAAGCCAGTTATCTAGAGGCAAGCAAGCTCCATCTCCATGACTTGCTGTGCTGTTCATTTCCAGTTCTTTATGGCAGGTGTCTCCAGAAAGGTTTGATTGCTAATGAGGGTGGCCAAATGCTGACAGCTCATCTACAGTGTGTTTGTATCTATCTGTTTCTTTCTAGCCATCGTTAACCCAAAGCAGCCCAAAGAGACGCCCAAAAGCTTCAGCTTTGACTATTCCTATTGGTCTCACACCACGGTAAGTGGAAACCTGCTGTTCCAGGTGGATTTTCCTGCCCTGAGGCCCTTTTGCAATGGGGAGTTTGATAAGAAGCTGGGGTCAGATGGGATGGAGTGAGCCAAAGGTTTTGATATAAGGACTGCCAACTGTGAAAGAGGGGGCAGTCTCCTTGACCATTGTACTTTAGGGTTCACCTCCTTACGAGATGACTTAGCTGATGTGGTCCCAAATCAACCACTGGGTGGCACACCAGGGCTGGTCACCCTTCCCCCTTCCAGCCACTGTGAAAGAACCCAAGCCGTGGGTTTCCAAACAGGTCCAAGGGCGGGGACACAAGCCCTTTCATTATGGCTAGATGGGAGCAGGTTCCCAGAACTATAGGTAGCAGCAGCATTCTGATACTGTTTTCTGTTGCGACTCAGGTCACAGGGTGGAAAAGGTCGAGAACTGCTGATCTAAGCTAAAAAATGATCTGTGGTAATCCCATGACAATGTAGCCCAGCCGCACAGCTGGGGCCAAGGGAATGCAGTGAAAAGTCCTGTGTCATGAATACATTCACTAAATAATTGTTCTTCAGCTGTGTTTGTGCCCTTTGTGCACTTGCTTTCCACAATCGTTTTAGCCAAGGAGTTCACTGGCAGGGGTATTCACTAAAACATGAATAGTGTCTGGAAGCTCATTTTTATTGGCTGTCTATGAGCATTGCTTCCAGGAAACTGGAATCTATCCATTCCATTCCTCCACTCAGAAAGCAGAAACACAGGGACCAATCACAGCGTGAAGTAGGAATATAGGTGACCAATCACTGCTTGCATTTTCATTACTTGCAACAAAATGCTCCCAAAAAAGCTACAGGTTGAAAGTAATTCATGTGAAGTGTTTCAATAATTTCACATAACAGACCAACCCGAGACACAGTAACAGTCTGCTCCCAGACAATTCACACACAACTAGCCCTGAAATCTGACTAGCTGTTGTGAATTCTTTGCCCAGCTGTGTTCCTGGCTCCTCACTGTGTCCCCTGTGCTCAGTGGGCACTAAAGAGCCTCAAATGTGTTAGCTACAAGGCTGGAAGGAGGTGTGCTGTACTGGAGGTAGAAACCAGATAGCATTTCTGAGAAAGCTTTTTACTAGGACACATCAGCTGGAGCCAAGTCCCTTATTTAACAATCTATTTCAATTTCAATCATCTAACTCAGAAAAGGCTCTAGGCACCCAAGGCATAGGTACCTGTGCAATCCAACCTGCCACAGCTAGGCTGCAGCAAGCCAACAGCTTCCCTCAGCAGTGCAATTTCCATCTCCCCTCCAGCCCTAAACCCCCAAATACAAATCTTACCCCTTCCCAAATGCCTGCCTGTCACAGAGTGCGTCACTCACCAACAGACTGACACCTCCCCCTGGTCATTCTAGGGATTAACTCAAGGCCAACACTCCTGTCTGCCTTCTGCACCCTGTCACTCCTTCTCAGCAGTCCACCTGCAACTCCTTTTCCTCTGCTATCGCTGCATTTCCTTGGGCCATTTCCCCATGGCCACAGACCTTCCTACCCTCAGCAGCCCGTCCGGAGCTCCTTCTCTTCTCCCTGGGTTCCTACCTGCACTGCTCTGTCCATGATGCTGTCGGGTTGCAGCCTACTCCAGATACAGTCCTCCCTCCTCAAGTTCCAGGCAGCTACTGAGCCCTGCTCTGCCCTGAGGCTCTTTGCTGGGCCCTGATTGGCTGCTCCTCACAGCCTCTTTCCCATTGGCTGCTTTTTGCACAGCCTCCTTAGGGTTCTATTAACCCCTTACTGGCCAGTGTGGGGTGGATGCCCCATCACACTGCCCAGAAGGATGGGGCTATGCACTGTGTCCAGGCTCTGAGAGCCAGAGAGGTCTGAATGGCAAAGTCCAGGGATTCTTGTGGAGAATGCCCTGCTGGCAGCTCCCTCTCTGATGTAACCCAGAGCTGGGCAGCTTTTCAGATCCTCAGACAGGTGTGTCACAATTTTAGTGAGGCGGAGTCTTGCCCAGCAATTCCCCAAGTGCGTCAGAGCAGCCCTCTGCTCAAAGCCAGGTGAGAGGGGGGCACAGTCTTGGTTGCCTTTCCTTCCCTCCCCACCCCATTCACATTATCTGTACCTTGATCAGGAAGCCAAGAGCTCTCAATGTCAGCATTGGAGTGCCACCAAGGGACTGGTGCTGAGAGGTTTTCCTTGGTGGCCCTACACTATGGAAGTTAAAGGATCACCTCCCCAGTCGGTGAAACATTGCCAGGGATGCCCCAGTGTGCCTCTGGTTTTGATACACGAGTGACTCAGCAACAGTAGTATGAGAAAATAATGCAGGCTCTGATTCTCCTCTGACTTGCACTAGGATGGGACAGGAGTAACTTTGCTCTATTGAGGTGAATGGAATTGCACCCAGATAAAACCAGTGCAAATGAAAGAAGAATGAGGGCCAGATGTTTCCCATTTTTCTTGTTTTCTTTTCTTCCACTTTCTCTTTCACACCTTCCCTCCCTTCTGACCTCTGTCTCTGGTTTCTCCTCCCTGCAGCCCGAAGACATCAATTATGCATCTCAGAAGCAGGTGTACCAGGACATCGGGGAGGAAATGTTGCAGCATGCCTTCGAGGGCTATAACGTGTGTATCTTTGCCTATGGGCAGACAGGTGCTGGCAAATCCTACACCATGATGGGGAGGCAGGAGAAGGATCAGCAAGGCATCATCCCACAGGTAACAGAGACTATCACCACCTGGGGGAGAGCACGCTGCTGGCTGTGAACAAAGAATACTCGTAGCTGGGTCATAGCCGGGAGCGTGTGGAGGAGAAGGAGGCTGCTGGGGGGTGGAGGGCAGGGCAGATGAATCGTTCCCATGTGGGTGAAAGGCTGTCGCACCCTGCATGTGGGGCCTTGATAGCTGCTGAGTGCCAGCCAGGAGACAGGAAGCAGTTACCTGCCGGGGGAGAGCAGGATGATGGCAGGAAGGACTGAGGAGTCAACAGGGCTGTGGCACCAGCGAGCACAGGAGCTACCAACCAGATGGGAAATTGACACAGAACTGGCTGCCTGGAACTTGACAAAGGGCAGGGCTAGGAGGAAGAATGGCTACTGGTCTCCTGGATTCTCTCCCACTCAGGGCAGCTGGAAAGTTAGAGTTGGGAGGGGATGTGAAGCTAGGAGCCCGGGATGGGAATCAATGCAGAAGGTATGAGCTGCTTGGAGGCCACCAAGCATCTGGGGAGTTGCCTTTAGGGCTCCTGGAAAGGGTCAGAGCAGAGCAAGGGAGATCCCAGACCTGCCATGAACAGAAAGGGGGCAGTAGAAGCATCAGTCCACAGAAACTAGAGGTGAGGTAGGTGGAGGCTCTCAGCAGAGATGCCTGAGTGGCTGGGAAACCTTTGGGCTGAATGACTGAGTCATACTGACAGGTTTCAGAGTAGCAGCCGTGTTAGTCTGTATCCGCAAAAAGAACAGGAGTACTTGTGGCACCTTAGAGACTAACACAAGTACTCCTGTTCTTTTTGAGTCATACTGTGTCCTCATATACATCTCTCCAGCCCTGCAAGAGCCAGTGGCTGTGAGCGAGTGCAGGCTTTGGCCGGACTGATTCCTGCTCTGACTCCACGTAAGGCAGGGGAGTTCTACCAGGCATTAACCTGGCCACAAAGGTCTGATTCGTCAGAGCTGAAGCAGTTGAAATCCACAGTCCTGGCAGTGCCTTTGGCTGTGCCACTTAATCTACATGTCGCTCAGAGTCACTCAGAACAGGGTGTGAGTGAGCACAGAGAACAGGCTCCCCTCCTGGCTGCCTGCCTTTCTGCTGCTCCCATTTCTGGGGTACAAGGAAGAATCCTTGTTTCCCTGGCACCGCCATCCCCTCCCCAATGACTCTGGCTGCATTATGTGGGATCTGAGCAGCCATGTCTCCTTCTCTCCTTGTCTGCTGCAGCTGTGTGAGGACCTCTTCTCCCGAATCAACGACACCACGAATGACAACATGTCCTATTCTGTGGAGGTACGGGGCCCTTCCCGCTGACAGTGGGGGCGTTCTGCTGGGGAGAGCACCTATTGAGGAGACAGGGACGATATGTTAAGGTGGGCCGTTGCCAGCACTGCTGCATGGGCCTGCCCTGCTCCTTCCCTGAGTCAGTTACCCTGCGTATTAACCAAAGAGTAGCTCCCATATAATACTACCTGCAGCTCCAGGCTCAGGCCCTTGAGGAGACCTGCCTTCCTTGCTCTGTCACTCTCAGGCCCTAGTACCCTTGCACAGAGACCTGCTCCCATCTGGGTTCAGGGAGGGGTCTAATGAGCTACAGCTGTTCTCATGGGTCAGCAGTCATTGGCCTGCAGCCCTCGGGTTTCAGGGATCTCAGTCCTGCTGTAATCTGGTTCCAGGTCCACCCCTGGATCTGACTTCGCTGTCGGGATACATACCCTCACCCAGGCCTGACCTGCCTTCCCTGGCATCCCTTTAACTACGTGGGGTTGAAGTCAACATTATCTTGGTGACACTCTGACTGATTTAAAAGTGCCTTATATCAGTTCAGCTTAATTCAGTAACAAACCTATTTAGAATCCAGTTTAGCTAACTAAGCAACTCTGGTGTGTAGACAAAGTCACTCGCACTTCCGTAGCCCCTTGTGCGGACTGGCAGGTGAGGCATGCAGGGCCTCAGCAGGGCCGGAGGAAAGCTGGCTGCATGCTGGGCAGGGTTTGCCCATGGCCCTTATGCCACACTCTGCCCTCATTCACGCTAACACAGCCATTGGAATCAATCGATCACTGCCTGGAACGGGACGGCTCCTAGAGCAAGACACTGGGTGTGTCAGGATGGGTGACAACTGGGTCTGTGTCCTGTGTGATGTGGGAGCCCCTGCACCCATTGTCAGACACAGACTTTGTGTGCTCTGTCCCCTAGGTGAGCTACATGGAGATATATTGTGAGCGTGTGCGGGACCTGCTGAATCCCAAGAATAAGGGGAACCTGAGGGTAAGGGAGCACCCCCTCCTGGGTCCCTATGTAGAGGACCTCTCCAAGCTGGCTGTCACTTCCTACAATGACATCCAGGACCTGATGGACTCTGGGAATAAAGCCAGGTGAGAGGGGGGCACAGTCTTGGTTGCCTTTCCTTCCCTCCCCACCCCAGTGCTGTCCGGAGAATCCCCTGCTTTACATCACCCAGTGTGTGCTCCACATCCTAGGCCCCTGCCTTCTGGCTGGGAGGGCCTAGACGCGTTTGCCTCAGAAATCACTCGTCTTCTTTCCTGAGCTGGCTAGGTGGGCTGCTGGTGAGAGCCCTGTTGTGCTCTTGCCTCTATATCTCAACGAGCACAAAGCAGACAGGATCAGAGAGAGCAGCCACACTGCAGCACCCACTCACCGACCCAGGTTTGTTTTCATCTTGTCTCCTTAGTGCTGTCCACTAGCCTCATGTTGCCCTGTGGTGGAGCCAATCCTGAGTCTTGTCCCCAGGGAGCTGTGGAGGTGGGACTGGGCGTGTGGGACCTGGCGCAGAGCCCACTGAATTCAATGGGGAGACCCTCATTGACTGCAGCGGGCTTTGCGCGAGCTCCTTAGAGGCGGAGGTGTCCAAACCAGAGCTGAGCATTAAGAGGTGGTCCAGCGTGAGCTCCATTGACTCACGCTCTTCTCAATCTTGCCTTGTGGAGTTACCGAGCTCTGCCTGACGTCACCAGCTCTGCGCTCTGAGCAAGTGCTGCTAGTGGCTGCCAAGCTGCAGGATTCCATGCCTCCCTGCCCTCTTTCCCCCACAGGACAGTCGCTGCCACAAACATGAACGAAACCAGCAGCCGATCGCACGCTGTCTTCAACATCATCTTCACCCAGAAACGACACGATGCAGAAACCGACGTCACCACCGAGAAGGTGAGCACAAAGAGGGGTGTTTCTTCAGTGAGGCTGAGCAGCACTTTCCCAGTTCCTGTGCTCTGGCTGGTGGAGAGAGGGTGTGACGGTTGGGCTAAAGGGGCTGAGATAAGAGGTCCTTTAGTTCTGCTCTGGGCGGGGTTTTCAGCACATTGGGGCCCATCTGAGCCTTGCTACGCATTGTAGTGGCAGTAACAGTGGGCAGCTTTCCCCGCAAAAGCCTAGTGTATGCCCCACCCAGGGGCGACCGACCCAGCTTGAGCCACTTATCTGATTTCTCAAACAAATGGGGACTTGGAGCCCAACCCCTCTGCAGTTTTGTTTGTTGACCAACTCCTGATTTTGCCAATCTCTGTTTGAATGGGCAGGGCTGGAAACCTGCTCTCCCTGACTCCGGATAAAACAGGACTTGGACCCAAACTGCTGTTAGTGCAAAAATAAAGCTCTCCCGGGTGGAGACCATATATTGAATCAATCCCTTGCTCTGGTGCCAGGGGTGCTGTGCTGCTGGCAGGATTGTCTTTTGGTGAGGTCCTGGCTACTTATGGCCACTAAGCACCCCAAGTCACTCTTTGCAAGAGTAGGCATGTTAGCTACAGTGTCCAGACCCTATTCCAATTTGGATAATCACATTATTCCTCCCCCAGATCCACCTTCCCACCCTGAACAGTTTCCGTTGAACCAAGTATTTACTTCCTCCTCCAAACTGCTGTGCAGCATGACTGCACACTGTTAAACAGCTGTTGCATTTCACACCAGAGGTGGTTGCATTTCAGTGGTGGATTGTGATTCCTGTTTGCACCATTTGCATAGCAATGCGTCAAGTACTTGGGGACCCTTCTGGATAGGTGCAAGTCATTGTTGTGCCCTCAATGGCAGGCATCCCTCTTTGCTTATAGGTCAGCAAAATCAGCCTGGTCGACCTGGCTGGGAGTGAACGGGCCGACTCTACAGGGGCCAAGGGCACAAGGCTAAAGGTAAGAGAAAAGCATGAGTCAGGAGCTGCACTCAGTGCCAGGTGCTCTTTGAGGTGCTGTTGATGCATCCCAACCATGGAGAGGTGTGCTCATTTCTTTGGTGGATTCTCAGACAGCTGGAGTGCCAGTAACAATTCCCTGATTAGCCACTAAACCCACCACAACCACTGCTCCCCACTGGTTTGCTCTGGGGGACCAGCCACATGCAATGCCTTTCCTCTCCCCAGGGGGGCCCTGGCAGGGAGGGAGCTGGCTGTTGGCCATGTTTGCTATCATCTGTGGATCTGAGCCTGGCTATTGTGCTGAGCTGCAGACACCCACACGTCCTTAAGCTGATTCGTGTGTCAGGACCCTCTCTATCAGTTGACTTTTGGAGGCTGGATTTTCTGTCTTCCTTCAACAGGAGGGAGCGAACATCAACAAGTCTCTGACCACACTGGGGAAGGTCATCTCTGCACTGGCTGAAATGGTAGGTCGGTCAAGGAGGTCTGTCCACAGGGTGGGACTGATTACATAGGACCACATTGTGTAACCCTGAAGCACTGACTCACAGGTAGTCCCATTGACACTTATGGACCCACTGACATGAATCAGTGCTCACCCTGCGAGTTAGGGCTGCACACATTAGGCCCCAGTGATGCTGTCGGATGAGCAGCCCTTGTAGTCCCTTGTGCTGTGACTATGAAATGTTCTCCAAGGCAAACGTTCCGGGAACGAGCCAACAAAACAGCCCTCTCTTCCCATGGCTCAAGGATATCAGCCCCTGAGCTCACTCCCTCTTGCACACACCCTTGCTGGCATAGAATGGCAGGTATTCCTGATGGACTCTGGCAGCACTTGGTGCCTGGCAGACTCCCCCAGTCTGGAGTGGGGGAATCTTTAGAACGATCCATGTTGCATGGGACTGGCTGGAGTGTTGGTTGTATGTGCCTGGTGGGGCGGGGCAGTTGGAGGGTGGGAAGGGTGAGCTTGGATCTCCTGGGAATGGAGATTGGGGATCGTTGATGGATATATATTAACAGATACATTTTTAAGAGGAGCTAGAGCCATTAGGCAGCCGGGCAGGACGGGAAATGGAGCCAGGATCATAAGCATCTCTCACCGCTTTGTTCACTTTGTGGATATGGGGATCCCTTTCCCCGCCCTCTGTCTGGCTTTGATTTTTCTCAGTATATGCTCTCTGGGAGAGGGGTTGTTTCCCTTTGTGTTTAGGGTGCTACGGCAATCTAAATAATAACTCCCAGTCACAAGTCCTGTGCCACAGCCTAGCTGATGAAACTCCAGCACTTCCTCTTAGCAGAGGGGCGAGCAGGGTGAGAGGAGCCTTTGTGTGGGTTCCCCCCACCACGCTCACCCCTCCATTGCGAGCTGCACGGCAGTGCCCATGCTCAGAGCCTGCTCTCTGTGGAGAGCTCTTCATCTCGGAGAGGTAGAGGCTTTTCCCGGGTGGTGGAGGGGAAGTTGCAGTTACCCACAGCCCCTTGTCCCGACTGAAGCAAACTGTCCTCCTCTTTGGCTTCTCTTTGTCTCACATGCTCATGTGATGGTAAACAATGTCTCTGGTTTCCTTTCAGGATTCGGGGCCCAATAAGGTATGTGCTTTGAGGGTTCTGTTCCTTGGCTTGGGTGATCAAACATGGGCAGGGGTGCTGTGGACGGAAAGGGGGAGGTTACTGAGATGCAGCCCAGGACCATGCTGTTGCATGGATTTTTAAACCGAGCGCCCCATTGTTTTCAGCTCTGCTCTGAAATTCAGGCATAATTTGACCTCCAATGAGGTTCTGTGCTGCAAACCCATGGCTCCACTGACTGGTGACCTACAGCAGAGGCAGTGCAGCAAAGGGCTGGCCAACAGCAAGGCCAGTCAAAATGGTACCAACAGGAGGTGGCCTTATTCACTGCCCACAGAGCATCTTTTAACCTTGGCTCCTTTCAGCTCCCTGCGTTTGAGATTAATATCTCAGTGGAGCAGCTGTGGTGGAGAGGAGAGCCAGGCTGGCTTTTGCTAATCTGAGTCAGCTGGAAATGGAGGGAGGGATGAGGCAGATTAGGCTTAGCATAGTGTTTCTCAGGTGCATTGGCGTCTCCTGGGGCTATGCTGCCATTGTTGCAAGATCAGCCTAGAGCTGGAAGTCACCTGGGGACTGTTGCTTCTTCTGTGTAAAATCTTTTGGGGGAATGAAGGGGAGAGTTCACTGGCCTAGGCATTGGTGTGTAACTGGGCTGGATGGGAGCAAGGGACGGACAAACTGGTTCTACTGCAATAAGAATCAAACCGAACCCAAACCAAACCTCTATTGAGGTCTGAAAATATTCAGTTCACTTCCCCCCAGTCTGTTATAGTCATCTCTGCCTTGCCTGCACTTCTGTCTCTCTCAGGTGCTGGTATGGCCCCTGTTACCATAGAACCTGGTGCCTCACAACACCTGTGTGAGGTCGGGCGTACCAAGGCCAAGTGACTTGCCAAGGTCACACAAGAAGTCTGGGGCAGAGCAAGGACTTGGACCCAAGTCCTTGGCTAGTTTCCTGTCCATTGGACATCACATCCTGGCTGTGGGGATGGGGGTGGAAGTGGGAGGCAGAGTTGTTCTTGATGTGTTTCTGGTCCACCCCAAAGCAGAAAATCTCCATAGACAGACTCTTCTTGTAGGTGTGATAATTCGGTGTAGATAATTCAGTCAGCATACAGACTTTGGGTCCTTATCGAACCTCTGAACTGTAGGTGGTTTGCTCTGGGCTAGGGGAGGCTCAAGGGTGTGCCTTTGGCCAGATGTGGTTGGAGGTCACTAGGCGAATGACCCTGGTTGATACTGACTGAGAGCCTACTACCTTTGAAGAAAACGAGGTGTCTCATTTCCCTGCTGTGCTCTCTTCCTCCAGAACAAAAAGAAGAAAAAGACAGACTTCATCCCGTACCGGGACTCCGTGCTGACCTGGCTCCTCCGGGAAAACCTGGGTGAGGGAAGGAGTCTGGTTCACTTAGTTTGCCCTCGTTCTGGCCTTAACTCACTGAATTTCGAGGCAACAGACCTCCAGAGGTCCCTGTCTCCTGAACTTTTGTAGTCTCCTTGCTTTAACTCCTCCCCCTCCCTCTGCCCTCCAGCTGTCAGGGACTCTCCCAACTCATTCAAAGCACTGGATGTTCCTGTGCTGGAGTTCTATGTGACCATGTGAGCTGGGAGGGTTGCGGGGTGGGGATATTGTTTGGTATGTGTGCTCTGTGGGCAGAATGATAGGGATGCTCTGACAGGAAGGGGAAAGCAGAGAGAAGGGGGGTTAAAAAGAGGGCCCAGGAACAGATCCACTTCATGGAGCCAAGAGTTTTTTTCTCTGGCAGGTGGTAATTCCAGGACTGCTATGGTTGCTGCTCTCAGCCCTGCTGATATCAACTACGATGAGACCCTCAGTACTTTAAGGTAGGCCTTTGTGACAACAGTTCATCCCCACGTCCCCTGCACAGGGGCTGGTGAACATGGAGTGTGACATCTGAAGTCACAGCCTTAGACATTCCCCTCCTGTTGCCTTCACTGTTCCTTCATTCCACTACTGTTCCATAGCCCCTCACTGATACAGAGCTCCCCTCTGGGCAGTGCTCATCACTGCTCTGTGTCAATGTCAAACCATTCAGGCCCCTAACAATTCGTTCTGTCAGTAGCATACAGAGCACTCTCCTCCACCTCCAGCCACTGGTCTTCCTAGTCCCTCTCCCAGCTTGGCACTAGACTACACTGTGATGCTCTCCCTTGTGTTGCCGGATTTGCTCTGTGTCCTCCCACCACCTGTTACTGCAGATGGGAGTAGAATGGGGAGCCTCATGGCCGGAAGGTTACAGCTCTGAGGGAGCCTTCGGATGTCTGAGCTGTGCTAACCAGGGCTCTGCCAGAAGCCATGCTTTATGTTATTATATGCAAATAGACCCCAGGTCTCCTGAATGCCAGTCCAATGCCATAGCCCCTGGCCCATGCTGTCTCAGACTTGAGTGAGTGCTATAGGAAGTCTAGTGATTGGTCCTGTTTCTGCAGGTATGCTGACCGTGCCAAACAGATCAGATGCAACGCTGTCATTAATGAGGATCCTAACAATAAGCTGATCAGGGAGCTGAAGGATGAGGTGGCTCGTCTGAGAGATCTGCTCTATGCCCAGGGTCTTGGAGACATCATTGACAGTACGTACCTCTCTGGGCTCTTGGCTGGGACCGGGATTTGCTTAGGAGAAGCAAGATGGAGCTCTCTAAATCTCAGTTTACTGGGGTAGGACAGGCTCAGCCATCCTCATCCCCATCATGTTGTGCAATGGCATTACATCACCAAGACATCTCCATTCCTTGCCCTGTTGCTCCTTGTAGTTCCTCTCCCTGACACTGCATCTCTGCCACAGCCTGCTGGGAAAGTCCCCTACTGACATCAGGGAGATGCATGCAATCACCACAATCCTGGGGACTCTAGCCTATGCCCCTCATGCTGACCGTGAACCCTAGTCTCCAGCCCCAGGGTGGCTCCACGGGGACAGGCTCATCCTCTGTGCTATTAGTCCCAGGACTCCTGTCCCAACAAAGAGCCAGTCTCAGCTTGGTGAGCGCTCCCTGTGTTGCTCCCAGGGAGATGTCCCCAGGCTGGGTCAATCTATGGCTTCTCTTCTCAACCTAGGGGCATGCTTCTCTGTTCCTTAGTCCTATACAGATGAACCTATTCTTGTTCTGTTTTCTTTGTCTTTCTTCCCACTCCCTCTCCTTTCTTTCTCTTAGCTAACACTGCTCCAGGACGACCTAAATGTGTGTATTTCCCATTGTGGGTGTTCTATGTGCTTCACTGCTTCTCCAAGACTCGGTCGTAGCAAAGGAACATACATACAGCATGGCAAAGGAGTCCAATAGCCTATAAGCAAGGGCCCAGCTATGGGAAGCTTGTGTGCTCTCACAGCTGTGCTGTGGCGGTGTTAAGGTGGTCATCTGCTCCTCCTCAGCAGTGCCCTGCCACAGTGCTCAGCTTGAGAGCTGACAGGACTTTGCTCCGGCCAAGGATGCACAGATCACTCAGGAGGATTGGTGGGCAACTGCCTGCATTGACATAATAACCTCTTCGCACAGGGAGCTCCCTTTCCTCATTAGAAGGCTCATCCTTGGCCCTCATGTGAGGCTGTCATGCTTGATGGTTCTCCCAGATCCACAAGCAAAGGGACCTCCACAGCACCATCTGCTGTGAGGGGGGGGAGGGCGGGGATTGACATATGGCAAGGGCTGGGGAGTCCATGCACCAGTCTCCTTCAAACTCTGTGTCAGCTCTGCACAAGAGGTAGTGCAGCCCCAAGCCATATGGTCCTGGATGTTGAGCTGGGGAAGCCAGACTGAGGCTAGCCAGCTTCTCTCAGTCAGTGCCTTGGTTGGGCTTTGAGCCAATGTATCGGAGTGGCCAGGGGTTAGCTGAAGAATTTGCCTGCATTGCGCTCTCCTCCAAAACATGTGAGATGGAATTGGTTTTCTAAGTGAACTTCCTGGGCCTCTTTTCTCCATGCTGTAACTATGGTTTCTGCTGCTTCTGTGCTGTTGCTGCTTCTGCTGGGCCTGGGACTAGTACCGATTCCAGTACTGGTTCTGCTGGCAATACCCTAACTATGGGCACTAAGTTATCTGCTTCCTACCACTGATATAAAATCACAAGTGTTCCCAGTGACCCAGCATTGATCCTGCTGCTGGTTGTACTGGGACCAGCAGGGCTACTGAACATGTGCTCCTAGACTTGACAAAGTGAACTGACTTTTGCTGGCATGCTGGGAGGCCCTGCAATCTGCGCCTTGTTTGTAAAAGAGCTGTGAACAGTCCAGCTGACATCCCTGGTCAGTGGCATAGCTATAATCCATGTCAGTTTGGCAGAGAAACAGCCCACAATTACCCCGCTATGGTCCCAGGCGAACTAACAGCTGATGGGAGCCGAGTGCAGGTAGAATGATCTCAAACCATTGACTCCTTTTAGCAACTGCCTGACCTGGATCCCTTGGTCCATTGGGAACATACTTCCTTTCCTTGTGAGAAGCCGGCCTGGATTTCTGGTCTCAGTTCATAGAATCATAGAAGATTAGGGTTGGACCTCAGGAGGTCATCTAGTCCAACCCCCTGCTCAAAGCAGGGCCAACCCCAACTAAATCATCCCAGCCAGGGCTTTGTCAAGCCAGGTCTTAAAAATTTCTTAGGATGGAGATTTCACCACTTTCCTAGGTAACCCATTCCAGTGTTTCACCACCCTCCTAGTGAAATAGTATTTCCTAATATCCAACCTAGACCTCCACCACTGCAACTTGACACCATTGCTCCTTGTTCTGTCATCTGTCACCGCTGAGAGCAGTCAGCTCCATCCTCTTTGGAACCCCCCTTCAGGTAGTTGAAGGCTGCTATCAAATCCCACCTCACTCTTCTCTTCTGTAGACTAAATAAGCCCAATTCCCTCAGCCTCTCCTCATAAGTCATGTGTCTCAGTCCTGTAATAATTTTCTGTGCCCTCCGCTGGACTCTCTCCAATTTGTCCACATCCTTTCTGTAGTGGGGGCCCCAAAACTGGACGCAATACTCCAGATGTGGCCTCACCGGTGCCGAATAGAGGGGAATAATCACTTCCCTCGATCTGCTGGCAACGCTTCTACTAATGCAGCCCAATATGCCGTTAGTCTTCTTGACAACCAGGGCACACTGTTGACTCATCTCCAGCTTCTCGTCCACTATAATCCCCAGGTCCTTTTCTGCAGAACTGCCGCTTAGCCAGTCGGTCCCCAGCCTGTAGCAGTGCATGGGATTCTTCCATCCTAAGTGCAGGACTCTGCACTTCTCTTGTTGAACCTCATCAGATTTCTTTTGGCCCAATTCTGCAACTTGTCTAGGTCACTCTGGACCCTATCTCTACTCTCCAGCATATCTGCCTCTCCCCACAGTTTAGTGTCATCCGCAAACTTGCTGAGGATGCAGTCTATCCCATCATCCAGATCATTAATTAAGATGTTGAACAAAACGGGTGCCAGGACCGACCCCTGGGACACTCCGCTTGATACTGGCTGCCAACTAGACATTGAGCCGTTGATTGCTAGACATTGAGCCTGACGATCTAGCCAGCTTTCTATCCACGTTATAGTCCAGTCATCCAATCCATACTTTTTTAACTTGCTGGCAAGAATACTGTGGGAGACTGTATCAAAAGTTTTGTTAAAGTCAAGGTATATCACATCCACCGTTTTCCCCATGTCCAGAGAGCCAGTTATCTCATCATAGAAGGCAATTAGTTTGGTCAGGCATGACTTGCCCTTGGTGAATCCATGTTGACTGTTCCTGATCACCTTCCTCTTCTCCAAGTGCTTCAAAATGGATTCCTTGAGGGCCTGCTCCATGATTTTTCCAGGGACTGACGTGAGGCTGACAGGCCTGTAGTCCCCCGGATCCTCCTTCTCCCCTTTTTTTAAAGATGGGCACTATATTTGCCTTTTCCCAATCATCTGGGACCTCCCCCAATCACCAGGAATTTTCAAAGATAATGGTCAATGGCTCTGCAATCACATCAGCCAATTCCTTCAGCATTAGATCTGTCCCCATGGACTTGTGCTTTTCTAAATAGTCCTTGACCTGTTCTTCCACCACTGAGGGCTGCTCACCTCCTCTCCATACGGTGCTGCCCAGTGCAGCAGTCTGGGTGCTAACTTTGTCTGTGAAGACCAGGCAAAAAAAGCATTGAGTACTTCAGCTTTTTCCACATCATCTGTCACTAGGTTGCCTCCCCCATTCAGTAAGGGTCCCACACTTTCTCTGACCTTCTTGTTGCTAACATACCTGTAGAAACCCTTCTTGTTACCCTTCACATCCCTTGCTAGCTGCAACTCCAGGTGTGCTTTAGCCTTCCTGATTACACCCCTGCATGCTTGAGCAATATTTTTATACTCCTCCCTAGTCATCTGTCCAAGTTTCCACTTTTTGTAAGCTCCCTTTTTCTGTTTAAGTTCTCCGAAGATTTCTCTGTTAAGCCAAGCTGGTCGCCTGCCATATTTGCTATTCTTTCTGCACATCGGGATGGTTTGTTCCTGTGCCCTCAGTGAGGCTTCTTTAAAATACAGCCAGCTCTCCTGGACTCCTTTCCCCCTCATATTAGCCTCCATGGGGATCCTGCCCATCAGTTCCCTGAGGGAGTCAAAATCTGCTTTTCTGAAGTCCAGGGTCCGTATTCTGCTGCTCTCCTTTCTTCCTTGTGTCAGGATCCTGAATTCGACCATTTCATGATCACTGCTGCCCAGGTTGCCACCCACTTCTACTTCCCCTACCAATTCTTCCCTGTTTGTGAGCAGAAGGTCAAGAGGAGCATGGCCCTTAGTTGGTTCCTCCAGCACTTGCACCACGAAGTTGTCCCCAACACTCTCCAAAAACTTCCTGGATTGTCTGTGCATTGCTGTATTGTTCTCCCAGCAGATGTCAGGGTGATTGAAGTGCCCAATGAGAACCAGGGCCTGTGACCTGGAAACTTCTGTTAGGTGTCTGAAGAAAGCTTCGTCTACCTCGTTGTCCTGGTCTGGTGATCTATAGCAGATGCCACAACATCACCCTTGTTGCTCTCGCCTCTAAACTTAACCCAAAGACTCTCAACAGGCTTTTCCCCAATTTCATATTGGAGCTCTGATCAATCATATCGCTCTCTTACATACAGTACAACTCCTCCACCTTTTCTCCCCACATTTTTGTATCCGTGCAAAGCTCTACTGATCAGCGCCTCCCCCTCCCTCCCAGTGCCTCCCGCCTGCTGCAGATCAGCTGTTTAGCGGTGTGCAGGAGGCGTGGGAAGGGGGAGGAGGAGGAGCGAGGGCGGGGTGCACTCAGTGGATGGGGCGGAGCGGGGTGGGGAAGAGGTGGGGCGGGGGCGGGGTAGGGGCTTAGGGGAAGGGATGGAGTGGGGGAAAGGCCTGAGGCAGAGCGGGGTCAAGAACCCCTGGGAAAGGACAAAGTCGGTGCCTGTGGACCCAAGGGCTACTAACAAATGCCTCCAGGGTGGTGGCCCTCTTCGTAAGTCGTATATATGTCTCTGCGCCTTCTCCACGGGGTGGGGACTGGAGGTTTGCTATAGTGTAGCGAGAGGGGAGCTATGAATATCCTGGGAATTTTTTTTTGAAAAAGTCAGTAAAATCTGGGCCCCCAACATGTGGCTTTAAGGGGGCCCCTCATGGCCTGCCAGGCACTGTGCTGTTGCCCCTAGCCCAGAGGTGGGCAAACTATGGCCCGTGGGCCACATCCGGCCCATGGGACCGTCCTGCCCGGCCCCCGAGCTCCTGGCCCAGGAGGCTAGCCTCCGGGCCCTCCCCTGCCTTTCCCCCTCCCCCACAGCCTCAGCACACTTGCTACGCTGCCAGCGCAATGCTCTGGGCGGCGAGCTCCTGGGGCAGTACAGCTGCAGAGCCTGGCCTGACCCGGTGCTCTGAGCTGTGTGGTGGCAGCGGCAGCTGCGTGGCCCGGCTCCAGCCAGGCAGCGCGGCTGTAGCCCCGCCAGCCACCGGTGCTCCAGGCTGTGCGGTAAGGGGGCAGGGAGCAGGGAGGGTTGGATAGAGGGCAGGGGAGTTCAGGGTGTGGGGGTGGAGGTGTGGATAGAGGGCGGGGTGGTCGGGGGGGAGCAGGGGGTTGAATGGGGGCAGGGGTCCTGGAAGGGCAGTCAGGAAGGAGTGGGGATGGATGGGGCGGCAGGGGACAGTCAGGGGCAGGGGTTCCGCGGGCAGTCTCAGGGGACAGGGAGAGGGGTGGTTGGATGTGGC